GATTTTAAACTGTTATACAATTTTTTTCATCGATAGTCTGTAATTGGAACCATAACTCTTATTTATTCAAATTGTATTAATATGTAAAGACCAAGTGTAAACTATATCATTGTTAAATCTTATCTTATAAAACCAGTGGAACTTCAAAATCGTTAAAATTCATGGCTCCGGCCGCATTGCGCGGGTACACAACTAGTATATATATATAGGCCCACTTAAGTAATAACTGATTAGTTTGTAATACATATGAGATTTAATATGAACCACTCATTTGAAATATTTAAGAATATTTTTTAAATAAACTAAAAATAGTGGTGGATTCAGGAAACTAATAGGGTGGTGGCAAGTTGGATGGGACTTGACGGAGGCAAGCATATGACCATATGAGACGGGGGGGGGGAAACCACATAAAACGAGGGTAAAAATAGAAAATTTAAGCTAGTCAACAAACGTTTTTGGTCTTTGACTGGGGACCTTTCCCCCGTTCATAAGGGCTAGATTCTCCCCTGGCTAAAAAAGTAATATAATAATTATATTTTTGACAACTAATCAAAATATTTATTTAAAAATTTTAGAATAAAATATTAAATTAAAATTAGTTACCTAGTATATCAATTACCTAATATACATCGTATTTTACAAACGTTTGTGAATCAAAGTGTATCATAGTGATAATGTTCACAATGTTTTACGTGTTTCACAATGTATTTTCTTTGTTTTATGAAATGTATCACAGTGTGCATTTTCGTTATTTTCGTTGTTTTACAAAGGGTATCACATTGTGCATCTTGTATGTATATCTGGGTATCACAGTGAATATCGTTTGTAAGTATCTTAGTATGTATCTTGTATTCACATAAGGTCAATTAAAATAAGATTCGTCTTGGAGAGAGGAAATAAGAGAGAGAATATTTATAAAATCTCTAAAATGCCCTTAATTAATATTTTAAGTTAAAATTACCAAAATTATTAATTTTCTAATTTAACATTTGATCTGTGGTTAAGATTTGATATTACAGTTACCACAAATAAAACAGTTATCATTTGATTAAAATCTTATACATACATATACATGTGTATGTATATAAATAGATAGATGACTTACAAGAGTTTGAATACTTTCAAACGCAAATTGACATGTAATGAGTTTGGACCTCACAAAGTATATTACGTGATCTAATGGTAACGTAACAAACTTGACATGTTTAGAAAATCCATAGTCATTTTAATAAATTAGTTAATATGATTTTATCGTAACTTAATATAAATATTTATTAAAAGGGAGTTCATGTAAGTTATAGAATATTATGTTGTATTAACAAGATTCAATATGTATATTTATACTATATTATAAAACATTTTAAAAAAACTCTTAAAAATCATTTTTTATGCATGAAGTACTGTTTATTGATGCATATTACTTAAAATTCAAGATTACAAGTAAACTGTGCGTAAGTACAACTTATTAAAACTCCATATTTGAATTCGTGTAACTAACTTCAGATAAATATAAATTAAATAGAGGATAAACATTTCATTTTAAATATAAAAAAAAACTAAAATATAATTAGAATAATCATTGAGTTATAACAAAATACTTAATTATTACCTTTATAAAAAATTATATTATTAATCCAAAAATAAAAAAAAAGGATAAATTTTAAATAGTATCAGTATTTTTTATATTTTTTTATGATATCTTCATGTTTATATTTTTTTTCAAAAATAAAAACATTATCTCTTTATCAAAACCACATAAAACCGAATTATAACATCAACTAAGACAAAAAATGAAACATTAAAATTGAGATGTATCTCGCTAGATTGTACAAGTATTTTTCTAGTTATATATAAACGGGTTTATCTGTTAGTTTTAAGATTTAAAAAATATACATATATTTAAATCTTAAGAATATAAAATAAATCAAGTTTGAAGTATTTGTTAATATAATATGATGTTGTTATCCATGCTTGGAGATGAGAACAAAGGCTTTTACTTTTGATTAAAAGGGGAGGAAAGAGAAAGTCATTATAACTTGTTTAGTGCTTGAAACTTGTTTTAAATAATTACATTTATTATTATATTTTAAAAAAGTAATTATTAAATTACCTAACCTTTAAACCAATCATTTAACCATATAAATTACTAATTATAAGGTTATTATTATTATTATTAAAATAATATAGTTTATTGTTCAATCAATGATTTATTTGACGTAGATTGCTACACTAATTATCATACCATTTTTTTAATCTCCATAATAAGGTTTGTTATATAATCTACAATAACGTCAACAAGAAGTACGAATTGCAATTATTAATTTGTTGTAAAAAAATAAACAGTTCTTTTGAAAAACGAATCGATCTGATTGATGAGTTATAAGAAGACAATTCATGATTCAGGTGCTTTATACGGCGACTAGAAAAGTACTCGCGCAATGCAGCGAGACACATCTCGATTTTAATGTTTTTTATTATTTGTCTCTGTCGATATTATAATATGATTTTATGTGTTTTTAAGAAAGCAATAATGATTTTATTTTTTGAATAAAATATAAATTTGAAAATATCATAAAAATTTGAAAAAAAATATATATCAAAGTTAATATCAAATCAACTATTTAAAAGTTTTCATGTTTTATATAATTTTTTTAATTTATTTTTATTATAATTTAATTTAAGTTTAACAATGAAATAATTTATTTTTGATTTAATAATATAACATTTTATAAAGATAATAATTAAATGTTCTGTTAGAACTCAATGATTATCCTAATTATATTTTAGATTTTTTATATTTAAACTGAGATGTTTATCATGTATTTGATTATGTTTATCTGCAATTAGTTACACGAATTCATATATGAAGCTTTAATAAGTTGTACTTACGCGCAATCTACTTGTAATCTTAAGTTTTAAGTAATGTGCATTAATAAACAATATTTTACGCATAAAAATTGATTTTTAAGAGTTTTTATCAAATGCTTTATAATATAATATAGATGAGTTGTTAAAGTTTTGAAAACGTTATAAATATTTGACTATCAAAATTTGCCTGAAACTCGCGACAATTTATATATGTAGAAAAAATTAATTCAGTATATAAATTTCACTTTATTGCAACGAAGTAAATTTCTTCCGGGAAGAAAAATACAATGATTTTGATGATGACATTTATATAACTCAAATAGCCCTGGTTATTCGATTTATTATCGTAACACGTCATTAAAATAATGATAATAGATTTAACTTATGGACATAGTTCACAAGTTTTTTAAGAAAATATCGGTGTGATAAAGGAATTGCTATTTTATAAACCATTCATATATCTAGGGTTGGATTTCAATGAGAAAAGAAATTATGGTAAGAAACGTAAGAAAAAATTTTCATCATTTGATCAATCCTAATTGAATGTCAACATTAATGAGGTGCACCATATCAATTATCTTCTAAAACGCAATTCATTGGTGGACATGAGATTAAAAATGATCAGGGTAAGAAGAGATCTGAACATTTGATCACCTTTAATCTCAAACTCACCATGAATAACGTTTGATACGATAATTGATCCGGTGTATCTTATCCTAATATGCATCCAATAGTGAAGATCATTTCGTACGCTTCTCACCTTAACTATCTTTCTCTTACCGAAACCCAACTATACACACACACACACACACACACACACACACACACATATATATATATATATATAGGTAGATTTTAAACAATAATTATATTATTTACGAGAACATGATAACACTTAAAACACACAACTATCATGTGTGATAAACACACTACAAACACACATTATTTCGTCTCCATACAAAATCAAATGTGATAGTTACTTATTTTAATACATCGTCGTTTTAATTCTTATTTAGATACATTAGTGTTGAAAGATTGTGACTTAATCGAAGATGTGTGTGGCTAATAAATAAGTGGGTAAAGTAATGATTTGGGTGTAGGGGTAGGTCAAAATGATGCATGCACCAAACTGGGTCCGCTTCAACCGCACCCTAATCTCAAAACCGCACCCAAATGCGTGTAGGGTCCAACCCTCCTCATCACCTCTTCTTCAAATCAACATGATTTCATTTTTGATATGTATGTGATATTCTTTTTTTTCCCCTTTAAATTTGTGTTGTCTCCTTTTTATGTTTTAAATGAAAGTCAACTATTTTCAGATCTCTAAATTATTTTAAAACAGTATTTGTTAAAGATGCTTAAAGTTGAAATTTCTTTTCAATTTAAACCAGACTACACTTATATAACATTATGGTTTTTTTCTTATTCAATAAATGATGACATCATTTTCAGTTTGGTTCGTTGGAATTCAACGGAATTTAAAGGAATTGGAATGATCAGTTCCGTTAATGTGTTTTATTCATTCTTTGAGTTTTGGTAAGGAATTTAAATTATACGAAATGTTAGTTCTTTGGGTTCTTACAAGGAATTTCAATTCTTTCTTCCAATCATTTAAGAAAACTATCATCCCACCACGATGGTCACCACCCTCGCCATCAACACCACCGTCGTTGCCATCTCCACCACCGTCTTTACCACAGCCTCATACCAATTTCTGCCAAACACAACACATGGTCAAATCTGATTAAATCCCTTTCTAATTCCTTCAAATTTCAATTTCTTTGACAAGTTCCAATTTCGACAAGTTTCATTATGTGAACCAAATTCCACTTTAGAATGTGGTTGCCGGTACACTATTTTTACTATCTGTAAGCTATATAACAATGTAAAATGACTTAAAAATCATGTATTTTAATTATAAAATTATTAAAAGATATAATTGAAAAAAACTATTTTATGGTTAATTAAACAGTAGACACTAGACACACAAGAATTGGGCTCCAAAGGTAATTGGGCTGGGAACCTGGTAAGCCCAGCCCATTAAGCAGGTCATCTCCGTCCGTGTGCTTGGGGGACAAGATTTCGACTTCAAAGTTTAGGGCAGTTTATCGTCATCAAGTCAAAAGGAATCTGAAGGAAGATTCATTTGAGAATCGAGAGAGTGGAAAAAGTAGAAAAGTCCTTCTTCTTGATCCTTCAATTATTCTAGTTTAGCCGAACGCATCTATCCACCGGAAATGCCAACTTTAACGAAGCTATACACGATGCAAGAAGCTTCGGAGCACAATTCCGCCGGCGATTGCTGGGTTGTTGTCGACGGCAAGGTCCCTTTCTTTCTCCTCTCTCTCTCTATATTATATATAGAGTTGTGTTTTTGTATCTATACGTGTATGTAACTATGTATGTCAGTATGTGTCTGGTTTTATCTTATTATACATTTCTATGATCCTGTCATCTTTGAATTAATGATATTACTGTTGGTATATGTGTTAATTGCATTGCTCTAATGGTGGTTTCTTTGTTTTTAGTCAAATTGATACTTCAAAAATGTGAAGTTGTTATGATTGAGCTGCATGACTTTATAGAGAACAATTCGAATTTCAAGATATAGCCTGTTAGAGCTCAAGTTCAAAATTGATATACATTTTGTTATTAGTTTAGCTTTAAACATTTCTTATCACCTTCTATAATATTTGCTTTGATGTTTAAGGTAGATATGATAGTTTTCTCCAAAGTTAAACAACTAATATTGGATTTGGAGTTAAGTACCAGTCCATTTGATCATAAAATTCACATTGCATAGCTCTCTTTTCAAATGGAGGGAGTACATTGGTTTGTAACAATTGGATTGCGATAATTATTGTCGTCTTAACTTATTTGAGGTTTGTTCAGAATGAAACTTTGGCAAGTTATAGTATGAATTTACACTTATGGTGATATTCGCTTCTTTTTTGATGATGTTAACGCCCTAAGTTTCTCCCTTTAGTCATGGGTGTGTGCTTAGGCTGCTTCTTTGCCTCCTTAACAAGCTGAAGATGAAGTAAGGTTAAATTTTAGAGAAGAAAAAACTTTATGGCTTTGCTGATGCATGGAAAAGAGAAGTTATCTAATTCCCTTTTTGTATACTTGATCAACCTATGGGGTTAAATGGTGTTTTCTTTACCCATTAGTTACACTTAAAGGGATGTTTGGTTGGTTTTTCATGAATCCTGTATGGATAAAGCTGTCTCTATGGATTAATCTGTCCATATAGATTGAGAAGTTTTTTGTTTGGGAGGATTTTTTCATAAATGGAAGGAGCGTGATTTTTAATTGAGAGGGGCAGGTTTGACTAAATACTGGGCTCTTTGCATAAAGCTACCCCCTGAAAGCTTACTGAATAAGCCACTTTCTATATCATTAAGCCACTGCCAAACAGTCATTTATAGCTGATAGAATAAGCTGCGTGTCCCATTAAGCTCATTAAGCTGCTAACAAACAACCCTTTAGCTTACTAGCGATATGACCTCTTGCTGAGAACTTTGTTAAGGCTACTGCTGTTGTTGTATTCGATTGAATCTTTAAATGGTGGCATAATTGAGAAGTGTCTGCTATAGACAATTTGTATGCATGACTTAAGTAACACTCTGTATTTGCTGATATCCAGCATTAAGTTTATCCTGGGAAAATATCGTAATGTGACTTTATATAGTTTAGCCTTTTTGAAGTTTGTTTATATGCGAGGAGGAAAGATTTGAGTTTCCACAGATGGCAAAGATATGTGTGGTTTATGTTATAGATGGTTAAATGTAAGATTGATGAGTCTGATTGTTTGTCAAATGATAGGTTTTTCAGATAGTTCTCCCTCCATATATTTCTAGATTTTGGCTTTAAGATGTTAGTAAATGCAGCTTAACTAGTTCTTGTCACTTTTGATTATACCTTTTACCTTTTGGCAATTTATTTGGGGAAGAAAGGCAATTTCTTATCGCCAAAAAGGAGGACAAAAGTAGTTCTTAACATTTCCTTGTGTGCTTATTTCTTTAGTCCCCATTTAGTCTTGATGAGGGTGTGGTCACGGAATGGCTTGCCTTAAAAAGTCATTTATTACATGGATACAACTTTAAGTACTTCACATGGTCGACTGTTTTTCCCTATTTTTCTTTCACTTATATTTCTGGTCTTATTTTCCTGTGCCTCATCTGCATTCATCCTTCATAAATGGGGACCGCAAAATAAAAATGAGAAATGAAATGGACTACATGAATTTGGGAAAAGTTCACCCTCAGACAACGCTCTGAATAATGAAACGTGGCATATTCCTTTTCCTTGAAACTGAAATACCTTGGGTTTTGCTTACCACTTTGCCAGGTGTATGACGTGTCATCGTATTTGGAAGAACACCCAGGTGGAGATGATGTCCTCCTTCAGGCTACTGGTAATTTCTTATACTAACTTCTTGCTTCTGATGGAAGTAGCAACAATTACCATTTTAGGCTCCCGGAGTTGATTGCAACGCCATTCTTGATGATGTCTCAAGCCCAACTCACTAACCTGCCTTTTGCCATTATTATAAATTGTTTACAACTTGATTTTGGTTCACAAGATTCTTTGTTTTGCTATTATTGAAGTGTTGTAGAGGTTCGGCAATTTGCTGCAATTTTCACTAGAGATAAGGTTACCATTGATAATTGATCAGGCAAACCCACAAGTGTGGGATTCTCTTTAGGTTAGATTAAGCAATCTCAAACCCTTATGCAAACCCAACATGCAGGTTTCTTTCAAAAATGTTTTTTATTGATAGGAGTTATAGATATTTGTCTAATGATATTTATTTTAAGCCAAAGATTGCAATTTAGAGGGAGTAATAAGTTTCTCAGATGAAGGCCTGGCCTTGGGGGCTGGGGCTCCTCTCCATAATTTGAGTCTACTCGGGGGTGATTTTTCTGCAAGGGTCCCATGAGATTAGTTGAAGTGGATGCAAGCTGACTCAGACACCTACAATTACAAAAAATAAAAGCATCTCTGATCACTTGATTCAAGCATTAGCATCATGGATACAATCTTCATATGTTGTAAATACTTCGTTTTGAAGGGAAAGATGCGACAGATGAATTTGAAGACGCAGGGCATAGCAAAAGCGCTAGGGAACTTATGGAGAGTTTCTGTGTCGGGGAGCTGGACACGTCAGACATCCCTCAACTAGAGGTTATTTCGGAAAAACAAACCAATTACATATCCGAGAAGCTGGTCGATCTGAGCAAGCAATACTGGGCGATCCCGGTAGCAGCCATCGGCATATCGGTGGTTGTCACCTTCTTGTACTTGCACAAGAAGTAGCAAAGGAGGTTAGTCGAATTCTGGGGGGTTTTGGACCATTGAAATTTTGTCAGTGGATTTTTAAACCTATAATCTGAGTAAAAGATACATGAGATCCATTAGGATATGGAATCACAACACCACTTTGTTTCATTGTGGTTATTTAACATTTTTTTTTCGATTTATACAAGAAAAATAAACATGTGATCCAAAATTGCAACCACGGTGGTACGCTGCCGGAGCTGCAATCTCACCACCGCCGTTAACACGGTGGTTTGCAAGGTCTCAAGTTCTTGCAATCATACAAGATGGAGAGCTATTGGTATAGCTAAAATATGATTTGTTATTCATGAGGTCAAAGGGATTCTCCAATTATTAATTAGCAAATATATATATATATGTGTGTGTGTGTGATTTTTCAAATGCAACCCATCACATTTGTATAACCAATCCAATCAATTGAGATATTTATGAAAATGATGAGTTTTTATTTATTATGATTTGAATATTTATGAAATGCTATGGTTCAATAATTATGATCAATAGAAAACAATCAGAACTTTTATAAAATCATATATATATATATATATATATATCAAATTAAATGGATGGTTGAAATTGAGTTGTATTGGTTGAACAAATGTAAAAGGTTGCAAAATAACTCCCCCTCTCTCTCTCTCTCTCTATATATATATATATATATATATATATATATATATATATATATATGGGAGCGATCAAATGCAAACCACTCAATTTGTACAAACCGTGCAAACCTCATTTAACCAATCATAATTTTTCATTTTGTTCATTTTTTTGTAATTATGAGAGGTTGATTAATCATTTTTATTGTGGAGGGTGTTAATCATAGATATTATCATCTTCATTATTTTAATTTTTAGAGAAATTACAAGTCAGTTTAATAAAGTATTATATGAAACAATTTCACAAGATTAAACAATTTCATGAAAAAATTTCATAAGAATAAACAATGAAATCGACGGATGAAGGTGGTTTGCACGGTTTACACAAATGAGGGCGGTTTTTATTTGATCACTCCTCTATATATATATATATATATATATATATATATATATATATTAAAATAATGTAACTACTTTTTTATACCAAACAGATAATTCTAAGCATATTCTTTTACAACAAATTTCCAAGTATATTACAATTTGTAACAATGAAATGGTGTAAATTATATTTATGTTTACTGAAAGAAATTGTATGGATAAAGTAACTTGATTGTAATTATTTAGAGTTAAAGACTTGTTAATTAATAATTTCTAGAAAAAATATTATTCCAGTGATGGAAAATAATGCGTTTCATTCATATGTATGGGGTTCATAATATGAAACTTTTTTACGTGTTACTTTTATTTCACAATTACATGTGGAACAAACATATTGTGAACAAATATATTGATATTTTAAACCCTAGTTTTTGACGAAAAGAAATTATATGAAATATCACATTATGTACTAGTTCTCAAGGTTATCATAATTTCATGAGTTATAAAAAAAATCCCATTTTTCCAATACTACATACAATAATCTTCAAATGCACATCCATTTATATTATTAAAAATGATTATTACGGTTTGAAATAAGAGAATTTAACCAATATCTCTTGCATTACGTTTTATAATAACCGATAAGTCAATGTCATTCGAGTCATTTATAAAACAAATATTTAAACACCGTAATTTCGACTTTAAATCTAAAAAGTCTTGGTTTGGATGCAAAAAGTCAAAACTACATTTTTTGGGACCATGAACGTAAGCTTTTTGAAGCATTTGGTTTGGTAAGAAGAAACGAGGAATAGAAGACGACATGTTGTTGATCTATCTACATTCCCATCAAACGTCATTTTTGTTAACTCTTTCTCTATTAAATTACTTTTTTTATATTTTTAATACTGTTAAATAATATAAATAAACGGAGGATTACATGAGAATAAGAGTTAATGTGAGAAAAATAAAAATGAATCTGGACCCTTGATCACATTTAATCTCATCCCCATCTCATGAATTGATCCGCTGTATCTCGTTAGCATTGATTTTCAATTAGGATTTAGGATTAAGGGTGGAGATCCATTTCCTCTCCATCCAATGAAATGAAGAAAATTCTGATTTTTATACATTTTAGATTTATTTTATTCAATTTCATATTATCTTTTTAATGATGTGTATTCATACGATTGATGGACATGAATGAAAAGTAAAACTTTGAAACAAGGGATTTTTATAAGATCAGATGAATCACATGTGATTTTATACATGTTTTTACAGTAAAAGAATAGAAAGATGCAAAACACAAAAACCATTTTCATGACTCAAATGTCATATTTACCCCTGTTTCCTCTAAACAATGAAGATATTTGTATGCATATATGAATAAAAGGCATCAGTGGAATATAACAAGTGCAAATGAGTTCAGCTTCATTGACTTTGCACAATACTGAAAAGTTGGTTGAAGGGTAAACTTGTCAAACACCTCTTCTAATTTAAAATAAATAAAAAAAAACCCAAAAAAGGGTAAATCACAATTTTGCCACTAACCAGCCCCTTTCAAAAACCCAAAAACAGGAAACCATCCAAAATAGGAGCCATAAAACATGTATGGATTCATTTCATTTCCTTCACTACATACACACCCTCTACTCTACTTAGAAAACCTCTTCAACTTTGAACCAGCCTGATTATCCAAAAACCACACCAGTTTCCCTACAGCTGGTTGGATCATCCTAGCTGGCAACACATGACCCTCCGGTCCCACATCATCGTCTATCGCCAGCCGGGCAGCTTCCGCTTTTCCAACACCTGTCACCACAACCACCACATTGGCTGCACAGTTGATAACCGGTAGCGTGAACGTGATTCTTTCTGGCGGAGGCTTAGGGGATGTGGTGATGAATGTCACCCACTCGTTCTTTTCTTCAAGAACCGCGTGGTTAGGGAACAGGGATGCCACGTGGCCATCCGGGCCCATCCCTAGAAGGATTAGATCAAACTTCGGGCAGTCGCTGACATCAGACACGTTGACCACTCGGGTTCTGACCAGCTGTCTGATCACAAACTCGTATTCGTTCGCAGCTTCTTCTGCAGTCAGAGAATCGTTGATGGAATGTACATGGCTCGGAACAATTGGTAACTGGAACAGAACTTGCATTTGTTAAAAAACATTTCAGTTCTGTATCGAATTATGTCATGAATTCAAGAAGGCCCCCCTACTGTATATAAAAAGCCGAAAAAACTACAAATTGAAAACAGAACTAAAGAATAGACCCTTAATTTGTTGGCCTCAAGTGAATATTAAAAGAAAAGTAGGGAGCTTTTTGTCCCACTAGAATACCAATTAAACAATCAAGGGATAATGTGGGTAACAGCTGGAAATGTGATCAACATCTTAAGATCAAGAAATGGATAAGGCAGAAACAAGATTAGGGTTCCGCTAATCACCCTTGATTATGCAAATTCTGAAGATTACAAACAAGATCTTCATCTTTGTACATGACTGTTTCTTGATTCTTGAATATGGATACAAACAATCATCTCTTGATCTTTGTTAGATCTAACAAATATCGGTTTCTGATTGAATCCCTGTTTCTTAAGTTTCTACAGTACATAACCCTGATCATATATACAAGTTTCTTGTTGAACCTCTGAGAATCACTGACACCATTCTCTACCATAAAGATCATCCTTTGAACCTTCAAAATTGGTCTCTGGAAATCGTTTATTCTATCGAGATGCTTATTCGTAATGCAAATGAAACAGGATTTGTTATATAAAGTTGGTAAACTATGCTCTGCTTCCTCTTGTTTCTGCCTTGTCCATATTCAAGAATCAAGAAACAGTCATGTAAAAAGATAAATATATGATTGTCTGTATCCACATTCAAGAATCAAGAAACAGTCATGCAATGAATCCATATTCAAGAATCAAGAGATGGAAGACATGCAAAAAGATGAAGATATGATTGTTTGCATCCATAATCAAGAATCAAGAAATGAAGACAGTCATGCAAAAAGATGAAGATATGATTGTTTGCATCCATAATCAAGAATCAAGAAATGAAGACAGAGCCCTGCATTTTGACACACAATTTACAAGCAGATCCAGATATAAACTAATAAATTACCTTAGATAAAAGATGATCTTTGGCAAACTTATAGTTGCTGTCTACATGATTCTTGGCCACAACACGTTCATCTGCCCAGAATATATACCATTTGGACCAATCTACAGTCTTGTTATAAGGAGCTCCACAAAGATTCCTGTTTTCAGTTCATATTATTTGATAATTAAGAGATACAAAATTACAAACAAACAACTGAAGGTTCAGAAATTGTTGTACCTCATCAAGCTAATGAGAGAACCTCCAGATAAAGCAATGGCAAAAACACCACGCTCTTTAACTGATGCCTCTGATAATTCTGCTATATAATCAGCCAAATCTGTACTAAGTTCATCCAAACTTTCATGAATCCTCACCTCCCCTCTGTCTTTTTTTGATTCCAAAAGAGCCATCTTTCTTAAACCCCAATGATACCTCTGAATCAAAGACCAAAAACACACAATACCCACATATGCAATGTGATCAGCATATAAAAAACATCTCCAGACTAGGTTATAATCATAAACAAAATTCTGGGAAAAAAGTTTATTGGATAGATTTAGGAATATTCCAAATAATTAGTGGGAAACAAAACTGGGTCCTCATTGATATATGTAAGTAAATCAAGAAAATACCAAGAACATGTAAAAAGTCCATCTGTCCATGGAATCTAAATCAAGATAACAATGAGCAATTTGGGGTTCCAAGTAAAACAAGAAAAAGTACTCAATTTTCAGAGTTAAAAACGTATCTATGAGGACAAAGAGATCCAATAATCCAAAGGAATAATTAACTGAGAAAAGTAAAAAATAAAAGATACTGCATTATGAAGAAAACCCCAGATCACAGTTGTTAAGTAAAATTAGGTATAGAGACAAAAAAAGCTAAACAGATCATCTTGACCATCATGAACATCATGCATTCCAGAAGATGCAATGAAATTTTTGCATCATCAATTATATGTCTGTATGTATGTATGCATAGAGAGAGAAAGAGAGAGAAAGAGAGAGAAGGGCTTACAAGTAAGAGAAAAAGGGATGCGTGGCAGAGGAAGGAAGAAACTGACTAATGTGGAAGATGGGTATGAAAGAAAACTATGATTTATATATGTATATATATATATATATATATATACACTTACACACAAAAGCACGCAGTGACGACACACACAGACGATAGATACAAACTATTGACTCTCATCTTATTACTGATCGTATAAAATACAATCAGATGTCGTAAATTGGGGAATAATTGTGGCTAAGAAAAAGCCAAATAAATGTATGCCAAGACAAATCGAAAGAAATTTTGCCTTTGCGTCTTCCACGTGCATCCAATGATCGTCAGAAATCAAAATCCCCTTTCACTTTCTCTCTCTAAAACCCTCTAATAGTAAACGGATAGAATTGGGGGCATCTATATCTTCATCTTTTTTTAATCACAGGTGGATTTTAGGGCGTCTTCAGAACTGAATTGCGAAGGGGACGATGGGATTGATTGATTCACAGAGTTGGTAGTCGGTGGGTGAATCCTTCTTTGCAATATATCATCAAGGTTCAAGAATGGAGACAGGATTCAGTTGCATACAATTTTCTTTATCAGTTTAATGTCAATTACCAAAGGCTTATCAGATTAAGCGTGTACCAAGTCAAATTATTTCATCGGATGAATATGATACGAATCAAGAATTTTATCTGGTAAAAGCGAGACAATGATCAAGAGTCTTATCCGGTAAATGAGAGCAACGACTCTTACCATGGTAAACGCTTACCGTGTAAATTGTTACATTCGATGTCGTTTTGGTGAACTAAAATCTTACACGGTAAGTAAATAGTAGTATTAAATTTTACCGGTAAACACTTACCGGATAAGTATTTGGTAAATGACCCCTTAAATTTCTCAATTTACATATATACTTTCACATTTTACCGTGTGTATATAAGTGTTATATAGAGATTGGAAATACATTAAAGATACAACATCTAAATCGTTAACTGGTGAATTTTGTTTGATAATTTTTTTTGCATTTTAGTGGTTTTAAAACCATCTGAATGATTTTGTACAATAGGTCTCCCTTAATTATACAACGCTCTAATTTCATTGTAAACAATTATATTTTATTTCGCACTATATCATTCTGATTACTTAATCATTCTGCACAAAACCATTCAGCAACTGCCAAACAACACGTAATATATATATTAATAGAGACTTAACAATCGTATTAAATTCAAGGAATAAAAAATGTCAGATTCATCGGGTTGGATTGTGATTAAATAACTGTAATCCAATATCAACTCAATATAATTTGAAGATTTTACAACAAGTTGTCTAATTATTTCACGTTGGGTTGGTTAGATTTTGAGCACCTTTAATTTAAAATATACAATTATAGTAGTTAATAAATATTAAAAAATGAAATTTGTTCATAAAATAATATTAAAATCGAAATATTTGATTATAAGTTACCAGATTTAAGATATGTATACGTTGCTATGAACAAATTATAGAGCTAATGGGAACATAGATCAATCATTAAATTTTATATCCTTGGTTTAAAATCTAATTGTATTTTATTTTTATTAAAAAGATATTCGTGCAATGCAGCAAAATATATCGATATAATGTTTTATTTTGTTTTTTTTATCTCTGTCGATATAATACGATTTTATGTGATTTTGGGAAAACGATAATATTATTATTCATAAAAATTTGAAAAAAGATATGTCGACATTAGTATCAAATTAACTATTAAAAAATTCTCGTTTTCTATTTAATTTTTTTTAATTCAATTTTTTTATTATAATCTAATTTAAGTTTAATAACAAAGTAATTTATTTTTAGTTTAATAATATAATTTTTATAAGGATAATAAGTAAATATTTCGTTATAAGTATAAATTAATGATTATTCTAATTATATTTTAGTTTTTTTATATTTAAAATAACATATTTATCTTGTAGTTGATTCTTTTACTTGAAGTTAATTACACTAATTCAAACATAACGTTTTAATAAGTTGTAATTACGCATAATTTACTTGTAACCTCGAATTTTAAGTAACATTCATCAATAAACAGTACTTAATTCATAAAAAATAATTTTTAAGAGTTTTTGTCAAATATTTTATAATATGGTATAAATTATATACTTTTAACACATTAATTACATCATTTTTATTTATTTTTAATTAAATTAAGTAACAGAAATAACCAAAATAAGTGAAAAAAAAAAGATTCTTTATCAACAAATAAGACTACAAAATATATATAAAATAAATACATTAATATTTTTATTTATTTATCTTAATTTCTCTTATTGCAAGATTTAATAATAAATTAGATGTTGGCCCTTGAATGCAATATTTGACCCTTTGCCAATGAAAAGGTGGCTTGTAAGCTTCAAGTATATTATTATATTAAATATTAAATATTAAATATTAATAAGGTGGTGCCACTATTTCACTTTACTTCAACCATTTAACACTTTACTTAATTTTTTCCCTATTTTAAAATACACAAATTGTTCCTTACCCAATAAATTTACAACTTTACCCTCCATTTCTTATTTTGATATTCCATTTTTTATTTCTTTATTCTCTTGAGTTGGCTGTCACCTTAAAACCATCTACAACTATTCAATCTTTAATCTTACACATTTCTGAATCTTATATAAATATAAACCTTATCTTCATCCACTCATTTTCCATAATCTTTAAACAAACATTTGCTTTATAAAAATTCGAAATACTCATATCTGAATTAAGATTTATTACTGTGATAATACAGAATTTAGTAACAAGATATGATAATCTGGAAAAATATAATAAAATAGAAAGGTTGACTGATCATGGTAGAGCTGTGAATTTGTTGTTATAGACTTGATACGTGTATGCAATTTTATTGAAGTTAATGATTGACACGTATCGATCAATATTCAATTTAGTTTCATCTCACTTTCACATCACACACACACACACACACACACACACATATATATATATATATATATATAAGAAACACAAACGTAACCTTATATATGTCAATTCATTTCACATCGGTACGTTTCACGTTTCAAGCCAACTATAAAACCTAACGGCGCAAACAATTGAAGCCATAACTCTCTCTCAAAACCGTGGACCCTTTGTTGATGTTAACATGTTATAACTTGCTATTTTTTATACAAAAAAACGTTTAATATCTGAAATTAGTGGAATATTAAAAAAAAATCAAAAATGTGTATATGGTTCTATTATATAGCATTTCCATCTGCCGTTTGTAACCCTTATGAAGGAATAATAACGTACAACTTCAGAGTTTAAATATCACATCTTGGTATTGCCAAATAAACCATCAACTATATATCAGTTGATTAAACTTCAAAGACGAGATTTTTATCATTTTATATATTGTTTTCCAAGTATAAATTATCTTGATAAAATTACTAGGAATGTGCAGAAAGTCAACCGATCCAATTAGTACGAACACACTATAATTGGATTAGATCAGATTGAAAATTTCAACATCCAATTTGGATCAACCGAACCGACCAACATCCAATTAACCATCTTATTACCATTCAGTTATCCATCTAACTATCATCCAATTAATTTTTTTTCAATTTGCTTAAATATGATTTTTTTTTTGGTTGGATTTGAATTTTTAGCCTCCTTTATTTTGGTTTTAATACATATTAAAAGTGATTAATCAGTTTGTTCCATTGCTGGAAAATTGAATTGAATTAACACTATCCTACGTGATTTGATCATCCTTCGGATGTCAGCTGGATCCAATGGATATCCAATAACAATATCCAATGGATGGAACCGAACTGATCCAATAATCTATTGAATTGGATTGAATCAATTGTCCAATATTACTCGAATTAGATCGATTAGCAAAATCCAACATTCAATAAATGATTGTATCCGTTCGGTTCCCCTTATATCCAATGAATGTCAACCGATAAACATGCAAAAAAAAATACTATAAGTAAATGGGGTTTTGGGAGTGTCTTGGTCATCAATCTCAAAGGAAAGATGAGTTGAAATTAATGATCTAAAAAATGATCAAAACCCCACATATCACAATCAATACTTTTTCTTTAATACATCATTTTCTTCTTAGAAATCTAAGCAATTTGAGCAACCTAAGAAAAATGGACATATCATTATAGTAGGGACTACTATCTGTGTTTTTTTATATTATGATGTTTTATAAACGTCGTATAATACAACAAATAAGTAATCATAAATGGGAATTGGCATTCTATACGTTTTGTGAGCAGTCATTTATGTATTCCAAAAGTTCCACAAAAGAATATTGATTTGATGATTAATTTGGGTTGGTTTAGACAGGATGCTGAATTTTCATAAAGAAAATATGTACATATGTCATCGCCAAATGTTCACACACACACACACACAAATATATATATATATATATATAGACTTGGGATCATGTGAGACCAAGGGTTTTTCGTGAGACCTGTAAGACCAATTCTCAACCATTGGATTAGATCTATAATCTGAACATTCATAATCATAAAATTGCCACGAAACTTCTCAATAATCACAAAATTGTCACCGTGCAACTTTAGACCATTAGATCATTAGCTTATAAAGTTCCACTAAAGAATCTTGATTTGATGATTAATTTGGGTTGGTTTAAACAGGATGCGAATTTTCATAAAGAAAATATGTACATATGTCATGGCCAAATGTTTACACACACACACACAAACATGGTTAAGATGTACTTTAAGTTTTTATTAGTTATATATTGTTATTAAACTGATATGTTAGAATCAAATATTCTATTTATAAGATGAAAATTTGATGCAACCGTTATTTTTTATATTTACTTTTCATGAAAAAATAATGTACGATGACGTTATTTTGGAATCTGACTGGTTTAGGTCCCTCTAATTGGTTCATGTACCTACAAAATTGATTGATGTGATACCATGATCATGGAGGCTTATGATCCTATATTGTAACCATTTGATACAAAAGGTAATACCAACAAAATGTGGCTAGAAGGCAAGGAAGGTAAAGCCAGGGACTAGTTATGCAACATAATAAAAAATGAATTGCAG